TACAAATATTACGTTACTTTTGAACCAGTGGTGTTGAAACAATTCTGGCTTCTGGAAAGCCAAGAAGCTGTTTTGAAATAAAAACTATTCATTCGGACTTTCTATTTGTTAAATAATTCTGGAAAAAATCACCGTTTCCAAATTTAAATACATCCTCAAACTTTTATTTATTTTTTTATCATGATATTTTTGCTAGCTGCAACAAATGGACACAAGTTGTTCACATGTTTTAAAGTTAATTTAAAATGATACAGTTTATATTTTATGTATATTTTTTATAATTATTTGACATTTTGATGACTGATAAACTATTCAGTGGCAACTTCCAATGTGACAACTAGTGTGGCATGTTGTCACAAAGTGAACTGTATGCTTTTTTCATCTGAACATCATGACTTATGGTTTTGAGGTCAAGAAATAGGGATAAGCATGTTTTAAAAACAAAGTTAAAGCATACTTAACAAAGGGAAATAGGCCTACATTTCCCAGCATGCACAGCAAGCTCCGTCACCCCCTTCATCAAATCCGCAATCTCTCATTCACTCACTGTCCGTGTCGAGGACAGCAACTCACTACCTCTGTCTCTATCTGCCCGTGTAAGTACACTACTCCTCATTCAGTTCACTCTACATTCAGTTTATCATTATTTTTATTAATCAGAGCTTAGAGCTGTAAGCGATGTGCTGTGAATGAATTCAGTGAAAGGATCAGTGTTTGGACTGACAGTATATTGTATTATATTTCTGCGAATTACACTCATGTATAAAGTCGTGACTTCGTAGACGTTAGGTCGGGAATTAGTTGTATTAGATAAACAAATAATTCGGGCAGGTTGACACGGTTTTTAATTTTCCTCACAGTGTTTTTTCAGTGCTCTGTCGCACGTTTACTGTTATTCTTTGTCTTGCTCGACCGCTAATCAACCAGACAACACCTCGACTTCACAAAACAAATGACAGGAAAAGTACGCTGTTTCTATTGCTTCTTGAACAGTAATTAAACAAATATTAATACTAGTTTGTCTTTATTTCCATTGTCTTTAGGATTCTGAATCACTAAACTACAAAGAATCATTTCGTTCATATGTATATTCAAATGACATGAATTGAACTTTTCGCTTCTATACTTATAAATGAGGCGAAACTGTAGGCAGCTACACTAGGTGAAATATTATATAATAGATCTAATGCATATGATATGACCACATTCTGACTTATTATGATGAGGAATAAGAAAAAATAGCTGCTATACAGAGGGATCATGCTTGGAAATCTAGTCGTCTTTAGTCTGTTTATTGTGTGTCTAATCTGTAGAATAACTCCTGTAAACTTTTAAATTAAATGTATAATCTTAGTTCTATTTGCATTGACTCCACAAAGCCAAAATGACTTCATCGTATAACGATGAGACCAGGAGTGATATATCAGAATCTCTGGAAGTCTGTGAATTCCAGGTACAATATGGAGATCCGGGTGGTTACTACAAATCCAAAAGCCTGCCCGTTCTTAACGGAGACTGTCCTAACGTTAATGAGTCCTTGGAACCAAGGCTGGTCAGTACGACGGAGACTTTAGTAAATACCAACCAGTGCTTAGCGTTCAACGAGCTGCGACAGAAAGGAGACTGGAGTGAACTGGAATCACCCACCAAGACAGATTTCTCCCCTTCCATGTCCAGTATGGTGGGTCTTAGTAGCTCCATGAGAACTGAAGCCAACCGAGCAGGTGGCAAAAAAATAGGCTTTTCATTGGCAAGATTCATCCGCTTTCCTGCAAGAAAGTACATGAGGGTGGTTCTTTCAGACTCTAGGTGTTTTCTGTTCTGTATGTGTTACCTGACGTTTATCCAGTCGTTGATGGTCTCTGGCTACCTTAGTAGTGTCATCACCACTATAGAGAAGAGATACAGCCTTAGAAGTTCAGAATCGGGACTGTTGGTTAGCTGCTTTGACATTGGAAGTCTTTTGGTGGTGGTCTTCATCAGTTATTTCGGGGGTCGAGGGCAGAGGCCACGCTGGTTGGCGGTAGGAGGGGTGTTCATCGCAGTGGGAGCAGCTCTGTTCTCCCTTCCACATTTCATCTCTCCACCCTATCAAATCCAAGAGGTCAATTCGTCCACGGGGAACGAGGGCCTGTGCTCGAACGGGAATGGGAGCAGAAAGGATGCTCTGGATGTGTCGTCCTGTCCAAGGGACCAAGAGGGCAACGATCACTCCATATATGTTGCCCTGTTCATCTGCGCCCAGGTCCTGGTGGGCATGGGTTCCACTCCTATCTACACGCTGGGACCAACGTACCTGGATGATAACGTGAAGAAGGAGAACGCTTCCCTCTGTTTTGAAATAAAAATCTGCCAAACATTTGTTTCACCTACCTTGTGCCTCTAACCTTTAATTGATAGATTAATAATAATAATAATAATAATAAATAATAATAATAATTTACAATTTAATGAAATTACAATGTAACACTGATGTTACACTGCAAATGGAAGTTGTAGAGCTTTTTATAATGTACTGCAAAGTAAACAGTTTTACAATTAATGTTCTTATCTAGTGTGATTTGGGTGTAGAAGACGTGATTCTGCCTTCCAGGATCCGAAAATAATTGAGTAAAATTGAGTAAAATATGAACATAAAATGAAAATGCACTTTATTTCTTTGTTCTTTCATATGTATCATACTTGTGGACTTTTTGTGATTAGTTTTATCCTTTCTAGCCATAAAAAGTTGTTTTCTCTATCTCCTCATACTCTTTATGTTAGGCTGTGTCCTGGGCTGAGTGCTTTGAATAACAGTCAACCCATTAGTAACATTCTGCCAAGAAGTCCTGAACAGGCTGTCTTGGCATGACTCTACTAATGCCATTCATTTTTCTTCATGTTTGCTCTATAAATATATGAACTCCAGAAAGGCAGCAGAAACCAGTTTTTATTTATTTAAGAAAGATTGAAACTGTGGTCAGGTTTGGCAACAACACAATTTAAGAAGTTAGAATGGTAGTGGTTTAATTTATAAATATTAATATAGTGTTTAAATTTAGTGTTAATTAAATTGTTGTACAGAGGATCCAGTCACTTGGCTATAGTTTTGGGTGCTTGATTAGTTTAAACTTTAACCTCAACATTGCATAAAAATAATGTAATATTAATTGTTTTCAGACATTACTGTTTTACTGTTCAATACTAGCCATTAGGCCTACTAAAATACACGCTGCTTATAACGAGGTATGTTCGTTTATTACAAACACTGACAATGTTATTACTAGTGTGTTCTCTAATTGTACTCTAGTAATAGTAGTCTACCACTAGAGGGCAGCACTATAGTTTGTCTAAACCTGAACGTGATGATAAAGGGATAGTTCACCTTCAGTTGCTGGTCCCCATTGACTTCCATAGTGGGGTGGGGGAACATTATGCAAGTCAGTGGGGACCAGCAACTGAAGGTGAACTATCCCTTTTAGTTTTCATTGCTTTGAAGTACCATTTTGCTAAAGGTGGAGGATGGCTTAGTTTTATTGCAATGCCATGAAATATACTGGCTACACACAAAAAATATTTTAACATCTTAATGTTATACAAATGATACAATTATTTAAATACAGATGATTAAAAGAAACCACAAAGTAAAATAATTTGATCCACAAAAAAAAAAAAAAAGTTTGACTATATAAAATAGAAGACTACACTGAAGAAATATAATGAAATGTTGATTGACTGGTTGCTACATATTTGCAGTGATCTAAAAATGTGGATGCAGATTGGATGCAAACGAATGTAACCACCAGGTGGCGTCACTGTATTCGTTTTCCCCGTGTATGTTTGAGTACAACTTAAGAGAGGTGTGGGAAAGTCAAAACGGTGTCATCGCTGACCGAGACATGACTCGAAGCATTCATGAAAGAATTGTGCAACAGTGATGTGAGATGCTGTTTTTGTACCTGTAGCTGGATGATTTGAAGATAATCAGCATGCTTCTCTCAGACTTTCATTGGAAACTTCATAAGCTGGACAAACGCTGCCACATACACATTCTAAGACTTTTTCAGGGAGTAGAGTGCTGATTGACACTAAAAAAAAAAGTGGCACTGTCCAAAGGTCAGCTGGACACCTGGGTGAGAGTGACCCCTGAGGAAGACCATAAAGATCGGTTTTGCCTTATTACACCTTTTTCTTGAGTCTTTTTATGTGATACTTGTCATCATGAAGAAGCTTTTTTGGTTATTTTTAGGCTGTATATATGGAAGTCTCCTTCTCTTATAAGAACCTAAGCACACAGCAAGAGTGGCTTATAGACAACTCTGTGAATGTATGTCATTGAGTGGCCCAGCCAGAGCCTGAGCTTGAACCCAATCAAATAATTCTGGAGAAACTTTAAAATGTGCATTTTACCCCCCCATCCAACCTGACAGAGCTTGAGAGGTGAAGAGGTGAGGAGAAGAATGTCAGAAAATTGCCAAATGATGATGATCAAAGCTTGTCGCATTAAACAAAAAAAGACTTGAGACTGTAAAGGTGCTTCAGCAAAATATTTACAAAATGTGAAAAAATGAATTGGGTATGAATACTTTTGCAAGGCACTGTACACATAATACATGTTCAAAAGTTTGGAATAAATAAATTAAACACATTAGTTGATCAAAAGTGACAGTAAAGACATTTATAATTTTACAAAAGATTTATATTTCTATGATGGGGTTGTCAAAAAAAAAAAGCACCATAAAAGTGCACAAAAAATGTTGAAATTTCACAATTAATTACAAAGAAATTGCAAACGCATTGAATTAAATGTGAAATTCTGAAGTGGAAAAAATGGAACAGTATTTTCTTGTAAACGTATTCCAACTAATCTTTATTTTGTTTACAACTTCAAAAACAGTGTAGTGAATATGACTTGTGAGTTACATTCCAAGTCAAAGTAATCTTTGCAAGAATATTCATTAAAAAAAAAAAAAAAAAAAAAAAACCTAGAAAAAAGGGCAAATTCTCTCGATATGTATATTCAAATGACATGAATTGAACTTTTCGCTTCTATACTTATAAATGAGGCGAAACTGTAGGCAGCTACACTAGGTGAAATATTATATAATAGATCTAATGCATATGATATGACCACATTCTGACTTATTATGATGAGGAATAAGAAAAAATAGCTGCTATACAGAGGGATCATGCTTGGAAATCTAGTCGTCTTTAGTCTGTTTATTGTGTGTCTAATCTGTAGAATAACTCCTGTAAACTTTTAAATTAAATGTATAATCTTAGTTCTATTTGCATTGACTCCACAAAGCCAAAATGACTTCATCGTATAACGATGAGACCAGGAGTGATATATCAGAATCTCTGGAAGTCTGTGAATTCCAGGTACAATATGGAGATCCGGGTGGTTACTACAAATCCAAAAGCCTGCCCGTTCTTAACGGAGACTGTCCTAACGTTAATGAGTCCTTGGAACCAAGGCTGGTCAGTACGACGGAGACTTTAGTAAATACCAACCAGTGCTTAGCGTTCAACGAGCTGCGACAGAAAGGAGACTGGAGTGAACTGGAATCACCCACCAAGACAGATTTCTCCCCTTCCATGTCCAGTATGGTGGGTCTTAGTAGCTCCATGAGAACTGAAGCCAACCGAGCAGGTGGCAAAAAAATAGGCTTTTCATTGGCAAGATTCATCCGCTTTCCTGCAAGAAAGTACATGAGGGTGGTTCTTTCAGACTCTAGGTGTTTTCTGTTCTGTATGTGTTACCTGACGTTTATCCAGTCGTTGATGGTCTCTGGCTACCTTAGTAGTGTCATCACCACTATAGAGAAGAGATACAGCCTTAGAAGTTCAGAATCGGGACTGTTGGTTAGCTGCTTTGACATTGGAAGTCTTTTGGTGGTGGTCTTCATCAGTTATTTCGGGGGTCGAGGGCAGAGGCCACGCTGGTTGGCGGTAGGAGGGGTGTTCATCGCAGTGGGAGCAGCTCTGTTCTCCCTTCCACATTTCATCTCTCCACCCTATCAAATCCAAGAGGTCAATTCGTCCACGGGGAACGAGGGCCTGTGCTCGAACGGGAATGGGAGCAGAAAGGATGCTCTGGATGTGTCGTCCTGTCCAAGGGACCAAGAGGGCAACGATCACTCCATATATGTTGCCCTGTTCATCTGCGCCCAGGTCCTGGTGGGCATGGGTTCCACTCCTATCTACACGCTGGGACCAACGTACCTGGATGATAACGTGAAGAAGGAGAACGCTTCCCTCTACCTTGGTAAGAAACTTCTTTGTAGTTTTGTGGCATTACCTGCTTAGTTTTGTGCTTCTGTTTTTACTTTTGTTGATTACACAAAACAGTTAACACTGTCATCAATTTTTTCAAATATTTTTTCAAATATTTATTTTATCTTAATTATTACATTTTATTATTTATACAATTTCCCTAAACATATAGATAGATTTATAAGCAAATGCTTCTGTTTTTTTGTTGATTACACAAAACAGTTAACACTGTCATCAATTTTTTCAAATATTTTTTCAAATATTTATTTTATCTTAATTATTACATTTTATTATTTATACAATTTCCCTAAACATATAGATAGATTTATATATAA